CACTGTCCCCTATATTGTGGCATTGTGACAGTTGCAGCCCTTCCAATGCCGGAAGGTTATGAGCAAGGCTTTTGATCCCCACATCAGTCAAAGCTCGGCAGCGGGACAAATCCAAATGCTTCAATTTCCGACGGGGAACGACAGCGCGGCCTGTCAGAAGGTCGACCTCGGGATCAACACCCTCCATGAGAATCTTCAAACTCGTATCCGATAAGGAGGAACAGTGTGACAGAATTAGCCTTTCCAGGCTATTAATCTCAAACAACTGTTGCAGGAGTTCGTGATTATCAAATGCAGACAGTTCATTTGCCCGTAAATCTTTCAAGTGGGGACAGGAGGCGACAATCCGTCTCAACCCTTTGGCGTCGACGCCCTTGCACCAGGATATGTCGAGGAATTCCAGTCTGGGACAGTGCTGGGAGATGGTTCTCATGGAGGAATTGCCGACAATCGACAGTCCAGATACATCAACATGAGTCAAGTTCGGGTTATTCCGTATTAACAAATGGAAGGTTATTCGGTTAATCTTGGAATCCCTTATGCATATGTTGACCAGATTCCGACAGGTATCGGATATGCGTTCTCCATGGGCCAGCCATGCATTTTCCAACTGGGCGCAGCCACGGAGGTTCAAGTCTCTCAAAAAGGGGCCTGCCGCTGTTATCACTTTTATCAATGCTTCACTTGGTATATCGGTGTAATAGGTAGATGCATCCAGTTTAGCCCACAGCTGTCCGTCGAAACACATTTTGTTCCATGCCTTGCACACACGGGAGCATCTAAAGAGGTCTTTTGCAGGTAGATACTGCAAAATGGACATTTTGATTTCCTCCGGCATATTTTTCCAGAATTCAAACTGAGGAGGCTTCTGTGACTTTCTCGTAGCTGACGCCATCTCCTGACTTTCAGAGAGTGTCATTGAGCTTGGTAAAATATCGCACCTAGACGTTGGTCGCACATCTGCAGGGAGCGGGATAAAGCCTTGCGAACTGCTATTGATGGCGGCAGCAGCAGCATCTGACATCACAACCCTGATCGGGACTCTGTTCTCATCCTGTATTGAGTGGCTGTCGGGGGGTACGTTGTTGTTATTGTTCCCGGCCGAGAGAGAGTCAAATATCTGGGGCGAGGCTGGGCTTGCAAAGCATTGTGTATATGACGTTGAGTGAAGAGAGACACAAGACATTGACGCTTTTCCTTGCCGCCGGTAGCCAAGGGACGATGAGCGTTGCCGGCCAGTTTTCAAGAGCGAAGGGCTTGACGAGATCCGTTGGAGTCCATTCAGTAGCCTCTTGTGACCCTTGCTCCTGGGGCGCATGCCAGAGTGGTTGTCCGCAGATTCCATGCTCATTGGTGTAGTAGCAGCTGGCAGTTCTACAATTTCATCCGGCAGTATCGAAACCATTGTGAGTTGCGTACGTATGACTTGATGCTTAAAAGGTAGGGAGATGTGCTGGAGATCGAATCCAGTTCGATGGTAGGAGATAGAAGATAGGACAAAGAAACCATAGAACGTTGGGGGTTCCCACTGCGTTAACGGCTGTCACGAGGAGAATAGGGTAACAGATGACGATGAGCGGCAGCAAACGAACCGTCCACCGCCCAAGCAGGCGAACGGAGAGCTGATATCTTCCCCAGGAGGTCTGCAGAGCAGGGACACAGAGCGGGCAGCGGGCGTTAAAAAGCGGAGTGTGCGGGGAGTTGTGGGAGAGGACGGTGCATGAGGTCAGCGGCCGGCATCCGCGGTAGCGTCATTCTCGGTCGAGGCACATGTCACCGTGGGTGACCTTGTCTGCTTGCACTGCAACAGCATGTTATATATAGCAGACACCGCAATGTTGGCCACGGGATCAGGACGCCAAAGCAAACCTACGCCACCTGCTGGATGGGAGCTGTTATTTTACGGAAAGACAGAAAGAATATTAAACAGCTACTGGCGGAGGCTCCTGGCCGACGGCGG